TTTTTTTTTTTTTTTTTTTTTTTTTTCTTGTATTGTTTATATCACTAGAATCAATGCAGTGGCGAGGGTTTATAGAGAAGGATCCTTCACTGCAGTTCTCTGATTTGGGACGACTGAGAATTCGAGGAATCTCCTTGATATCTTTGAAAGAGAGAAAAAAGATCGAACAGTTGTCTGGCGCTCCGCTGTACTACACTGTTTCAAGAACAAGAATAACTTTAGTCCATAGATAAAAGGAGCGTAAACACATTTGAAAGGAGGAGAAATTATTGTCCAAAATTTATGGAATATTTACGTCTATCCTTCTCTATAATAACCTACATTCAGTTACGTAACATTTGCCACCAAGGGCGTTGCTTTCTTTCTACTGATCATGAGTTCTCTAAACAACTTTCTACTTTATTCCCGAAGCTTTCAGAAGAGAAGATTGAAGTTTTTCTTGTATTCGGCTGTAAGGCTGTTGGCCAGGTCAGTCATTACCACCAATGGCTTTGTCAAATATTGTAATTCCCTGCTGATCAGGTGCCCGTCGCTTTTGTCATTCAAGGAGTGACCTGTTTCAGACGTGAAGTACAAAGAAAAATTTACTAGAAAATGTTGTGGGTCATCGCGGTTTTGTAGATAAATGAGCATTTATTAATCGTTTATCACACAACGTAGAGTCAGGCTATCAAGAGGATCGATCACGACTTTTCGATTGCAACACTGCAAGGCGACCAAGAAAAGGAAAGTTAACGCGTCGCTATTCGCTATTTCTGATTTGTAATGAACGGGAAGGTGGGGGCGGGGGAACAGTATATGAGTCGTAATTGCGGCCTTGCCGTTCCCATGTTCTTTTCCCTTACTTGCGGGTGAGGCGGGGTGGGCTTTTTCTGAGATACCAAAAATATATGTATTTGCTTGCTTTAAAACTTACGGTGAGGAATTAATTGCAAGATCTAGCTGCATGTAAGTAGCCTACCTGTTAGAACGACGTTCTTGACATTTTTCAGCGCATTGAATGCTTCATAAGGGTTTTTGTCTGAAACGATTCCCTTGACTGATTGAACAGGATTATCGCCACGTTTTGACAGCACCATGTCATGTAAACTTTGCGGAACTAAAATGGATTTCTCCATATCTCCTCGACAGCGTTCACAAACTGAAAATATGAACAAGAGTATTCGAGAAAAATTAGCGAAAATTGACAGAACAGTCACTTCCTTTGTTCCAGCCTTTGTTCCCAAGTACGCCTCTATAGCACCCCGTCGCCTCTCCTCAAGATCGTTGTGGCTGTTTTCTTTTCTCTTTTTCTATGATCGGTTTCCAAGTTAGAACTCATGAAGTAAAATGTGATCAATATGTCCTAAAGTAAAGGTTCGTTTCAAACGAGGAAAAATATAGCTTTTATATTTCGACACGAGGTTGATTTGCTAGCCGTGAGGTCTGTGTAATTAGTTATTCACCCTTTCGTGACAAAGGCGTATGTACTTCTTGTGGCAATGAGAGACCTGATCGTTCAAGAACATGTAAAGTTTTAATGGTAATGTTAGAAAAGCCCTCTTATTTACCACTCATTAGAATCAACATTCCAGTCTGTTCTATGGTGGAGTCAATAAACAATTGATCATGCCCTGACTGAAACGGACATAAACAATGCGAAGAATAAGGGAGTTCTTGATAAGTCAGAAATGGCCTGAAAAACTTATCATAGGTCCAAAATGTAAGGAAACTCTCGAAAGAAGACAATATTTGTTAGTAAAGGAACTTTCTTTTGGTGAGTGAATTCCCCACTAATGGCTTTTACAATTCCCTTAAAACCAAGTATACTACGAAACTGTAGAAACTAGCCATGTAGGTGGATCATGCGACAGAGACCGTACATTTTGAACTTGTTATTACAGCATCCGACATGTGAGAGAGATTTCATAACGCCTTTGGGATCCCTATTAAATATGTGAAGATTCAGTGGTTCATAGAGGGAATGGATTATTATAATTTTTTGATATCTATACAACGGTCTATAGTTGTCGTTTGTTCATTCAAAGGGAAGAACATCAGCGTCAAATACTGTCAAATCTGTCAAAAATGTCACTTGGATAGTGACAGTAAACATTCGCTCATTGCAAGATCGCTGCCGGATACTAGTACCCAGCTCTGCAATGACTGTCGATTGTGAAATTGCAACTAAATGGGTATGGAGACATTTTAGAAACAATTCCATGATCGACACGATTTAGATTCACGAAAGTATTTTCTATTTACTCTTCCGTGCAAATCCCCTCCGTGGCCCATTGTTAACGGATGTTTACGAGTATCGTACCTCTTTCCTACCGGTAGGTAAGGTGGTCGCATGCACCCCAGCAGACAAAATTATTGGAAGTGTGCCACTCTTTATAGCTTTTTGTTTAGTGATGTCCTCGAATATCCAGCCGAAGGTATCATGACCTTTTCCTACAAGTGGCTAGGGAGGGGGGAAAGGGGTCGAATGCAATTTAGGTACGAAAGGCTCAAAGTTAATTTGTTGAGGGAATACAGCGTTTGAACAATGCTCACGATCACTGGCGTAAAAACGCAAGCTAAGCTACCAGATGTTGGTATGGTAAGAGGAAGGGAATTAGGCCACAGTAGCGGCACGTGGCATTGGACGTGACACGGGGGTAAAATAGTTTTGGAACCTTCAGCCCCCTTTTTTAAACACAGCACGTGATTCCCAAGAATGAACTGTCGAGAGTAAGGGTTGTCTTGCAATAAAAACTGTCACATCACAATCGCGAAAAGCGGCAGTGAACATTAGTGGAGGGATAAAGAGGTTAGCTCGGTGCATTAAGAGAGACACAGAGAGATTTATTTAAGTCAATCAACCTTGGTTGAATGGGTCTGGCGCTGAAGTTCTGCTGTCTTCTACTGCAATTAAAGTCCCTAAAGCATCTGCTATGGAAAGTAACAGTTTCATTATCGACAGGATCGAGACATGCGAAAGTATAGTGAAGTTCTTTCTTTCATGCATGCAAAATCTCTTGCAGGCAGAGTTACTGAATTTTCTTCTGGTATAGAGTCTTTTCTTTATGTAAAAGCCATAGAAAATATAGCCAATCAGAAAACAGAAAAGCGGATGTTTATCCAACCGAACCTTTCAATCGTTCTCTGCGATCTTACCACCATTAAAATTTAGAAACTGGTGCCATTTCCGGTTTCTTCAAAGCGATCAACCATGATAACTTAATTTGCTATGCACTCTTTGTTTTGTGACAACTTCTCAATTTTAGATTTTAAAACGTTGCCAAGATTGTAAGGAGTTAGTTCAAAATTAATTTTACGTGTCTACCTCATTGATGGTGTTGGTATTTGTTTTATTTCATCCTTTCGTTTTTTTGTGGAATGGTACAAAACATACTTTTTCGAGGTATACCATGGAATGTCCCTCTAGTCATATTCATTTTCATAACACACATTCGACTGAAATCTCCTAAGACTTATGGATACTCCATGGTTTACCCAGGAATGCTAGACCATTACGTGTAAAGCCATGTAAGACCAATAGGTGTCGTGACACTTTTATTAACAAATGTGCAGTTAACGTTCTTTTTTAGCAATTCAGCTGCGCTAATTCTAAAATTTTATATTCGTAGTCGTAGGATTCTTATTGCATGCAAGTAATTATATTTATAAAATTTCCCCTTCTATACATTGTAAACCTTAGCAATTCAGTCCATGCTGCTATTAAGGTATTGAATAAACCATTCTTCTTCTTCTTCCTCTTTTTCTACCCACTCTAAAGCGTTGTGCAACTAGTACGCGCTAAGATGTCTGTCAGGACACAGGTCATACAAGGAATATCCAAATTCGAAGAACATGACTTTTTCCTACAAGTGTTAAGGGGGGGACCTTCCCTTCCCTCCCCCCTCCCCACAACCACTGCGCCTTACGGGCCTTTTAATGTATGTATGTATGTATGTATTTACGATATTTAGACAGGCCAGCCCAGTTAAACTTGAAGCTGGTTTAAATGGGGGCTTGTACATCCCACCATCTCCCCCCAGGGGAGGATATCCATCACAAAGTTGATCTTTACCTTTTCCCAGTCAGTGGTCTACCGAAAATAGCAAACTTAATTGCCAGATGTTGGTTTTGTCTATAATGACCAGGAGGACGAGTCTGAACTATTGCAGTCAAACACTATGATCGTTTCTGTTTTCACGTTAATGGCACGTGTCTTGAAAATTTTTGGAAATCATCTCGCATCGATTCTATCTCTGAGCACTACGTGCGTTCTTAACATTTTATTGCTGTAAAAGTATCGCTCCTTCGCAGCAAAAAGATCAAATCGTAATTGCGAAAAGAGACAATTACACATTGGTGTTTAAGTAAGAGGTTGATTTATTGCGCCATAAAGAATTGGAGAGGTTCGCCTTTCTACTGATCAGCCGTGGCTGGCTCTTACTCGCATTGTTTTAAGACAGGTTTTAATTTCATTTCATAAAGGTTTGGTAAATTACAGCTGGCAATTCAGTTAGCTTTTCTCATGATTATTTTCCGAAGAAAGAGCTAACAATGGGTGTGTCGCCTCTCAGCGACTTGTGCTAAATTCACTCATTTTTTTCTGTCCATGAATCCCTTTTGTTCGAAGAGCTTGTGTATGACCTGCATAACTTAAGGAGTGACTTGTTTTCGTGATTATGTAACAGTTCCTCTTTGAGTCAAACATTCAGCGGCGCGACATGCCAAATTCAGATTACTACCAGCATCGTCTGTCGTCCTTGTGGGAAACGAAAAAATTAAGATACCGAGTTATCCTTACTGTAGACTACGATTGTCCGGCTGAGAATTCCTTCGCTTTCAGACCAGTCTCCATGGTCAGATAGCGAAAAGGCCTTTCTCCCTAAGGTTTCCAACGACAACGATATTGGAAGTAAACCTTTGAGCTGTGATCTTGATCGAATCAAACTTTTCTTGCCTCTTCTTCCTCAATCCCTGTAGTGGAATTAATTCTACCGATTCCTTATTCGTTTACACGTCTCCTACTAGCTCTACTGTGTACAAGACTTTTAACTGACCGAGGATTCTACACCAAACAATGCATCAATGCCATCAGGAAAAGACAGTTTCTCGAATGTCTCGTACCGAAGAAATAAGTGTTCAGCCAATTGTGTCGGATCTGTAATAGGAATCTGGAAATACCAGAAAAAAAATTCCTTTACAATTCAGAAGCAATATATGAAAATAATTATTCATTCGAGTAGGGGTTTTGGTAACTCAGTTTTTCCATACTGAGCGGCCGCTGATGTTGTAATAAGTGACTGCACCCGAAAAAGGGGCCGAAAGCACATGAGCCTACCCAAAGGCTAGACAGATGCAGGTCTGGAGTTCTAACAGGCAGCAGTAGACCACTAGTAACTCACTTTTATTGAAATTCCCTGCTGAGGCGAATGGCAAGAGTAGGGACTGGGAAAAGAACGGAGGGGTGGGAGGCAGGTAAATATGCATGGCTGCTAGAACTCAAGCCTGGTTCTGTTGCATGAAGTGACTAGGGACACTGCTACTCCTCCTGGATGAAAAGCTTGTTCAACTCATGCAACCCAAAAATATTTGCAAGGCTCCCCATTCACTTTCTATTACAGTTTGCTGGTTAGCATTTTTCCCTTCTTGTGAGAAGATCCTGACCTAGGCCCAAACCTGTTAAAATTCAAATTTGTCAAGGACAATTCAAGTGCCACAACATGGACCAACCTTTAATTCCAAGAGGTCTTCCACTTTTCTTTCTTTTGATGAATACTCCCTCAACATGTATGATGTGCCAGCCTGTAATTGGACCACACAATATTAGACGGGTAACAAAGGTCAGTTAATAAACGGCTACAAAAAGGAAAAAACAAATGTCTTAAAGGTGATTCTGTTTGGACCCTGCAGTAAAACTACCCAAGTGTTCCTTAGCAACTACATTTGTCAAACTAACAAGAAGACTTAAAATTTTCAGAACCAGTCTCTTGAAAAAAGTGTACAGTGGTAAATCTTATTTTTATTAAAAAGAGATGTGTACCTTGTGATAAATTCTAGTATCATTGATCCTAACGAGAACTCCATCTACTCTTAAAAAATATCTCAGTAACAGGAAGAAACCCCCTTGCATAACACGCTGAAAGCATAAAATACATGAAATGAGTATGATGTCCAAGCAATGCTCAAGGCTATATAATCACATATCAAGAATTTCTCTCTCAATCAAAGAAAGAGAGTTTTCAATCTATGGGATAAAAATGTATGTAGCACACAGTTACACAGACCCCTTGTTACCAATTTACAAACTATGGAAAAGTTTTTCAGTAACAAGAATATCATTAGGTAGTTTTTACAACAATGGGGTGGCCAAACAAAATGTGATCTCAAGAATAATAAAAAAACAGAAGTTGCAATAGAGGTTTTGCACAGCAGCCATGTTGGATGGCAGGAACAATAGATAATTTTACCCATGGGAAAAAAATTCTTTCTTATGCATAATATTTTCATTGTTCCTGCCATCCAACATGGCTGCTGTGCAAAACCTCTATACCACAACTGAGTTTTGTGAATTTCTTTTGCAATTCTTTGGCTTGTTGAGAAAAAAAAAAAAAAAAACCTGGGTATTACATTGCTCTTCATTTGCATTTGACTTCCTCGCATTCAATCGTATTAACCTTACATTTGGTCACACGCATATACAGCTGCATCTGGTATCCCTTACCATTTTGACATTCAACTTTGCTATGCCATTATCTGCTAATTCATCTTCATACAATATAATGTCCTCATAGAAATAAATCTTTTCTTTAACTTTCAGCTGTTCTAGATCTATTCTTTCTTTGGTGGACTCAACCTATGATAAATAAGGAGAACAATTGGCATATCACTTAATGAAATTAATTAACCCTTAAACCCTAAGATCAGTGATATGCATCTAATTTCTTTCCACATTATCAACCCAAGTCAGATATTAAAGGTCAGGAGAATAAAAACAAAAGATTGCAAACTCAAGAAGCTCCCGATTATCTAACAAATTCTCTTTAGAAGAGCCTAAGGAAATGTATAGAGAACAGTAATATGTATACTGATATTGTGGTGTAAAGGGTTGAACAAGTAAAGCAATATTTGCAAATAATGATACTTGAAATGGAAGAATAAAATTATATCAAAATACTTCCTAAATGAATGAGTCACTGATTGACAGATAAAGTTATAACTACTTAATTGTCCTACAATCTGAATTTTTAATATGCCAGAATAATATGACTGAAATATATTGAATGAACAGTTCAGTTGCTGAGTCAAGGAACTTACACGGCATTACTGTCTTTCAGTTATCTTTATAACCACACCTGTAATACAATCTCCTCTTTTCCAGTCAATGTTCCCTTGTAATCTGTTGTGAATGTCCAGTCAAAAGGTTTTATAACCTCTTTGATATATTCTGAGTCCTGCCTACAAGATTCGGGTGAAAAAATCAAAACAAAACAAACAAAAACAAAAAGAGAGACAAAAAAGATAAATGTAATTTGTTTAATTATCGACAACATTAATTAGCCTTTAACTCCCAGATGTGACTGACATGTAAGAGTTCTCCCTATAAAATCCATTTTCACCATCCAGCAAACAGTAATTAAAATGAGAAATAAAACTCAAACTTATCAGGTGAAAGTTGTTATCTTGATCTTAAACCAAATTCTGGTAACTAGTTTACAAGGAAATGTGTAGCACCTGGAGAATTAGCTATCAGATCTTGGATAAATTCTAAAAAGGTTACATGTATCAGCTCTTAGATAGTTAGTTCTCCTATCAGTTCTCGACACTTTATGTGATTGCCTACCTCAAAAATCTGAGTTTTCTCACTTTCTACACCTTTAGCAAGATGGAAAAGTATTTCTTTTAGATCCCCACTGAATCTTAAAACTTTACACTGCATAAATCACCTAATAGTAAGAATACAGTTGAAGTCCTTCACTAATATTCTCTGACTGAGTAGGCACTGTTTCATGATCAGAGGACAGCTCTGACTATAAATGCTTCACATGCCTAGTCTTTTAAAGTTGTACTCTTGTGAGAGCTCTTATCTGAATACCTCACAGGGATGTCAAATATTTTATTTATGAGCTTAACCTTTTGCTTTGCCATTCTTCTGCAACAGCAACTTTCATCAAGTCATGCTGGTTATCTACCAGTTTTAGTGCATCCAGAGCATTAAATTGAATTCCAAATCCTGCCGCATGATCGATCTGCAGAACATTGTCGCCAAACACCATTTCAGGAAGAGAAGGAAGCTCCAGCTCAGTAGAGATCCTTATGATGTAACAGTACAAAAAAAAAGAAAAAAAAAAAAAAGAATGATCTATCAGGAACCCTGGCCACCCCAAGTTCAAATTTGTTCAACACCGAAAAGTTCCAGTAAGATGGAAGGAATAAAACTAGCATTGAATAATATCCCTGTATATCTCTTGAGATCTGCTTAAATACGCATGAAAAAAATTCTAAAAACATTATTCAGTAGGCTCCACAACCAAAATATTTCATTCGTCACTTCATACTACACGTGATTTACGAGTTGTACAACGGTACCTCTCCGCGTCATTCGCTTTTAGAATAGCTCCTTTGGTGGAAGTTATTTTCCAAGGTCCAAAGCTAAAGACATCAGACTTCTTCATTCTTAATCTTGTATTCTATCTCACTTTAGCGAGGAGATTCTCAATCTTGTATTCTATCTTACTTTAGCGAGGAGATTCTATATCGGATAATGGCAGAATGAAAGATAATACGATTAAAGAGAGAATTACTAAAGCCTGTCATATAGCGGCCCAGCGGCCTTCTAGGAGACTCAACGAGTATTAAACATGTTGTGTAAGTGTCACGGGAAACTACATGACATTTCACATAAGCATACATAAGCTAAAAATGTTTCGCGCGCAAAGTGCAAATATGTGGAATTATATTTTGTATTATTACACGACTCGGGAAGTCAGAGGGCCAATAACTAAAATAAAACAATCAAAATGCTCTATTGCCGGTCAATATTCTCTCAGTATTGGACCGGGCACTGTCCCGAATGGTCCCGAATGATACCGCACTTGTGTCCCTTTGA